TGCAGATGCTGGCCTCTGCTCTGGCAGCCTTTGTGGGAATTCTTGGCTCTGGATACTGTATAATCATCTCGGCACTGGGATTGTCTCAAGGACCCTACTGTTTTACCCGCCCCGAGAGAAACTGGATTTACCCTTTCACAGACTCCTCTGGAGGGTGAGTGTTCTGTTCCTGAGGATGTAACACCTTCCCTCACATACTCACGGGTTTTATTTCAATAATATCCAGAACAGTCATATACTGCTCATATCCATCTCAAACAAAGGATAAAGTTTTAGGGGTTTGAAAGATACACAAACCAGTAGCAGTGGTGGTTAAGAAATTTGTCCTAGCATTTGTCTAAGAGGTGTTTTGTCAGGCTTGCTTTTGAGGACACTTTGCATCAGCATTAAGTGGCACAATGCCCACRTCAGTGACAATGAATTCTCATAAATTAAACGTGACAAGTTTTATAAGCATCGTTGCGTGCTGCAGGTTGGAGAGGGCGAGAAGCTCCTAATTATCCCTAATTAGGGTTCTCCTGCAATAAACGTCTCAGTGTGCTATTCTCCATTAATGTACATAAATCCTGATGTGGTTCATATCATTTAAAGTGCCTGTATGTTTGGCAATCTCAGTGCTGTATCTAACAGTGGCTTGTGGCTGATGTCACACTAGAGGCAGTCTGAATACTAAAAAAGTCACATAAAACTCTTTGCAGCAGCGTTTGAATTTTACATTTCAGTTATATCTCTCCCAAGATTTTTTTTAAAGAAATTAAGATTCAACAAAAAATGTGTGGTTGATATTCCAACAAGTTCCCAAACCAAASAAACCTTGCATGGAGTAAACCACTGCTGTTTCTATTCCCGTTTAGAGTCGATGTACTCGATGCACTCGCAGACTAGACAGAATTTGGTTCTAATAGATGGTGAGTGTCCCACTCTGATGCAATGCTAATATGCTTTTAACTGTTGTGTGCAGRTACTTGTTTGAGTACAACAAGTGGTCTGAATGCCAAGAACCCCAAAACATTGTCCAGTGGAACGTCACCCTCTTTTCCATCCTCCTTGTTTTGGGAGGGATAGAATTCATYCTGTGCTTCATCCAGATAATCCGTGGCATTCTTGGAGGAGTGTGTGGATTGTGCTGCAGTCACGAGGAGGTCAGTAATYTGTAGATAGATGAACATGAAACCATTGCTGATGCCACTGTGGGGTCTGACTCAGCAGTCACTTCTGAGGAATTCTCAAGCAGCAATTCCCTGTACGACTGTTACTGCAGCCCTGTTTGGATTGGCATTTTCATGCAGTGTTTGAGCTTTCAGCTGATTCCTCACTGTCACAGTGACGTTAATCTGCATGAGAGCTCGCAGGCTTTTGTSTGTCCAGGGACAGATGTGACCATCAGAACTCTGTAGGTGATATAAGTGAGATAAAGATCTCCTGGGGCTGTGATCTGTGCCCAAACCATTGTGCACAGTGTAGAGCTTGTCCTAACTATATGGTGTCAGCCTTGTGTTCTGTCCACAGCACCTCATGAGCTACTGATAATGTGCTGCATGGAATGAAAACTGCAGCATCCTTARTAAAAGTAAGATAGGAGAAGGAATTAAATTGCACATAGCTAACAAAATCTTGGATTTGGAGGGTTTTTCAAGGACGGGTTTTTTTTTCAGTGAGTGAGGAAGGGGAGTTTTCTCCAAGTTTCTTTAAAGCCTTGCTAAAGAGTTTGGACATATTCCAAAATCAGTATCACAGCTCTAGTGTTTGAATTACCTTGGCTAAAGTATGAGCCAGATATAATTTGTACCACACACTAKAGATAAGCATGTGTTTCACATTTTTAATTGGCATAGTTAAAGCGTTGGGGCTCTTTCAAAGCTCTCCTCCTGTCCTCCTTGCTCTAAGTGCAGCAGAGAAGAACCACGCTATGGTTGTCTTAAACGTGGTCAGGTTAATTTTCACATTTTTATTTATTAGCATTAGATATTTGCATTCTTTCTGTTAATATGTTTCTCTCTTTTTGTTCCTCCCTGCAGACGTATGTTTGCTAGAAACTTGACCATGCATTGACATCTGTGCCTGACCGTGCTGAAATGAGTATTCTGCGGATTTTTTTAAAACATTCCACGCCTACTGAAATATAAATTGTTGTCCAGGTGTGCTGTTGCCATTAATTTAACTGACTTGGGGCCAGCCTTTTTTGTAAGAGTCATGTTCAGGTTTCCCAGTAACCTGCTTGAATCCAAAGGGTAAAAAATGTATCTTGAATTTCTCCTGTTCATTTAATCTCGGTACAGGAAACTGCCTGAACACGTCACTAAAACGTTTTTATTTATTTTTCTCTTTCTACTGAGACAACAGCGCTGTACTTTGTCCTGCTTTCCCAATAAAGTWGCTCTTTCATTCTGATATTGGAATGAACACAAACTTAATCTAGTCTGGCCTGGATAAAAATGAATTCAAGGTTTTGGTCAGCTGGACCAAAACCAAAGCAACAGTAAAATGTGGATGATTGAGGGCTTCTCAGCATCTTTCTGACCTTCCCCTGTATTTCACAAATAATAAAGATTTGTATTAAAATKACCCAGCAGGTGTCAGTGATTCCTTCCCTGCTCATGGTTAAACCCGGCTTGCCCGGCGTTGGGCTGAAGGGCAGTGCTGGGAGAATGTGGATTTAATGAACTCAGGGTATATATAATATATATATATAATAGGGTATACATAACCTGTTTTTCCTCTTCAGCAGGCTCTGCCAGAGTGGGAATTGCTTGCTTTGGCTTATTTGACTGATTCAGGTGGTTTTTCATCAATAAAGGTTCAACAACAGCCCCGGGCCATACACAGCCTCACATGCGGTGTTTTAGTTCGGGGTCAGGACCGGGTTTGCCAAATTCCCATTTCAGGGAACTGAGGGGGCCCCACAAAGCTGAGCCCAGCTCTGAGCCCCTCCCAAGATACAACACACCAGCAAAAGAGCTCCCAGATGAGAAGAGTTTGTGTTTAGAATCTCAAAATACAAACTTTGTGATAGCATTAATTTGTACCTAAATACATAGAATGTATTAATGTCTTTGTAGTGTCTATTCCTGCTACAGGAGGGAGGGAGGTGAATGTGTGGAGGAAGAGAAGGTGGAAAAGGGGGTCCTCTACCACATAAATTAGAGGGTTTTGCCTTTATTGCTGCATAATGGTTTTTCTTGTACACACAACTAATGAAAGAACTGAAACACTTTTAGGACTTCCAATACACAGAATAATTAGGCTAGGGTTTAGACCTGAAACTTCAGCTCAAATGCAGCTGAATAGATCCCTGTAGCACTAATTGATCCCTGTATCACCAATAGATCCCTGTGGCACCAATAAATCCCCGTAGCACTAATAACAGATCCCTGTAACACTAATAACAGATCCCTGTGGCACTAACAGATCCCTGTAGCACTAATAACAGATCCCTGTGGCACCAATAAATCCCTGTAGCACTAATAACAGATCCCTGTAGCACTAACAGATCCCTGTAGCACTAATAACAGATCCCTGTGGCACCAATAGATCCCTGTAGCTCTAATGCCCAGCATTGCTGCTCACTGTTTCTATTGTCCTGTGCAAATGCCCAGCTGGATTCCTTTGCTGCCTGGTGCATCAGGCAGTGTTTTGGGAGGTTTATCAGTTCCACTGCAGAGAAGGGATTGGTTTAGGTGTATTCATTTCAGCTGCAGAGAAGTCATTCAGACAGGGCAAACATGGCTTTTCGGTAACAGCCTTGGCATCAGCTCATGAATAATGGTAACAATGGAAAACCCCTGCTTGCAACACTTGGCCAGATATTTGAGAAGCTGGCTTACAGGTTTGCCTAATTCTTAGTGTAAAATAGTTGTTTCCTGTTCCAGTGACATCATGTGCGAGCAAAATAACCACTCTATGATTTGGTATTTGCAGAGCTGGGTTTAGAAACAAAGTCGTGATGCMGCCTGTCCTAGTGCAGAGCAAATCCTGCTTCAGTCATCATTTCCCAGGTTAGCTTCTTCTAATCAAAATAATGGAAATAGCAGCAAATTTTATTATAAAATAAGATTCTTGCTACTAATTTTGGCCTCTGCTTTGAAAAGGATATTTCAGCCAATTATATGATCTTTGTGCTTTGTGTTAAAAACTTATTAAACAGGGATTTGATGTGTGTGATTTTAATGCAGCTCTTTTCTCTGCTCTTTATGGCATGAGATTTGTCTCTGCCTGTGAGCCTGGAAAGGCAGGTTTGCAACTAATTCTGATTAGAGGGAGAACTGAAAAAAAAGTGGTCATAATGATGAGAAAGTAAAACAGGAAAAATGGGAAAATCCAGAGTGAGGATTTCAAAATTAGACCACCTAGAAAAAAGGAGAGTCACAGCAGAGAACAGGTGGAAAAATGGTGTAATTGTGTGCAGAGCACACGTTTCCTGGTGTGATCACTAATAATATGGAATTAGTTACAACACACAGCTTTTATTAGAGCCTYATGTGTGAGGAGCCTAAAACAGCTCATGAGGAAACAGAAGGAAAATATCTTTTGATGTTATTGCTTCTAAAATCAGCCTTCATTCTTTGGATAGAGCCCTATTTTTTTTTTTCTTCTGTTGTCTGACTACTACTTTCCTATGAAGTAAAGCCTGAGCTCATTCTGGAGTTATTTTTCTGGTGACTCACAGGGCACAGACTGAGGCTCAGGTTGTGCTGTGAGTGCTCAAACCTCTGTTTCTGGGATGGATTTAATTTAATTTAATGTTGGGGAATGATGACAGTGGGAAAGCTGTCTGACTTGGGTTTTGCACAGTGCAAACTGCAGGCATTTTAAAAAAAACAGCCAGAGCTTTTGTCCTGGACAAGAAGTCACGTGCACTTAGGCCAGGCCTGTGCAAGCTCAGCTGTAAGCACAGAGTGAAACAATCGGGTTTAATTCGCACAACAGTGCAGCTACATCGTGCTGTCAGAAAGAGGAATTGATTAAAAGTGGGGAAAYAAGTCTGCCCTGCAGTTTCTGAGCAGTGTTATTTGGGTTTCTGTACTCTCTGCAAGATGAGCCAGACTCATTCTGCTCTTGTAGGGCAGCAACACCTCAGTGTTCTGTTAAAAATATCTTCAGTGTGAGCAAAGTGTGGCCTTCTGTGCAGAGATTGGGCRTATTTCCCATCCTACAGCCCCCTCCCCGTGTTTCAGGAAGGCTGATAAASTTGCTTCTGTCACAAATTGTGTTGCAGTTCATGTCATGGGGAGGAGGGCATTTTTGAGCASTCGCTAGGAAATGAGAGCTTCCAAGTTCCTTCCTGACTCCTGGACATGTTTCATTTGAAAGGTCACAAAAGAGGATCTTTTAGAAGGGAAATGGCCACTTGAAGATGTGCTTAACGCAGGACAGTGAAATTTTACACAGTGAAATTCCTCTGTTGTGCTGCTGTTAAGCACYTCTGTCCTTGGAATCGCATCCCTCACTGGTCCTTGTGAATTTGAAATGACCGAATCAAGCTGGGGAGGTTAAAACGCTTCTTCTATTTAAAACCTTGCAAACTCTCGTTAGTTTTGAAGAACACAAGTTCCAGAGTTCCTGCGAGATGGCTTTAGAGACTTGTGGAAGCTCCCTGAGCTGCCTGCTGGTCCCTCTGGCGCTTTGGAGCATTGTGGTGAACATCCTCCTGTATTTTCCCAACGGGAAAGTTCTGCACGCTGCCAGGCACCAGCTCCCCAACTACGAGTGGATCTTGGAAGGGATCTGTATCTCAGGTGTGATGGTGAGTGCTCGTTCTATGCATTGGTAGTGATTCTATCATTTGTAATGATTCTGTCCATTCTACGGATCCATAATGCAAATCTATAGATTTGCATTYTATTGCAAACAATATTGGGTTCCTGAGAAGCAACGTGCCTCTGCTTTTAAAGAACGTAGGGATGACTTCAACAAAACCACTGCGGGCAGAAAAACTCAACCAAACTGAAAAAAGAAGTAGTATACTGAATGACAAGTTGTGTATGCTGTAAAGTGTAAATGGTTTTAAAAGGTGGGTTGGGGGTTTTGTTCTGCTGCCTTTTTATTTACRTGTAATTTATGGTTGTATTATGGAGGCAAACTCTATATTGATTTAGTCATCTATGGAGGCTGAATTAGAGCTCTTTTATCCAAATGAATGCATCAGGTACCTCTGTTGTCACGATGAACACACAGAATTGTCTCACTGTGATTAGCACAGCAGGATTTTCCCTGTGACATTTTTAATTCGCTTTTCTGCAGTAATAAACTACCGTGGAGTTGTGCACTGCTCACGCTGTTCACTGTGTTCATAAAGAGCTGTAGCCTCAGAACAGAAACAGTTCTGGGATCAAAGTGCATTGCACACAATCAGTGCTTTAAAAGGGTTCAGCTGCATAAATGAGGCTTTTTATGAGTGTGTTGAACCGTTACTAAAACATTGGACTTTGTGTAGAAATCATGAGCTCTCCTCAAAGCAGAGGAAACGTCTTATCTGTTCTAGAAGAAGAAAAATCTACCACACGGAGGATTCAAACAGAGAAACGGCTGTAAATGCATGAAAAAGTCAACTGCAACAGTGATATTGATATTTTGAGGCATTTTTAGCCTTACAATTATTACTGATTTAATAAAAATACGTATATCATTCTGTTACAAACTGGCCAGCAGCTTGTGAGAGGATAGTGTTGTGATGCAAGAACATTCTCATATTTCCCTTTTCAAACCCCTGCCTCTCTGAATGTTTCTCCGTGTCAACAGTTTGTGGTTCTGGAGCCCAGATCCTATTTATCAAAATGATTTTAGGATCAGGCCTATCCTTTAGTCTAAGAAAATCAGAAAAATACGTGACAAACAAATGAAAGTCCGGGTGAATTCAATGAAAAGCTTCCATTACTGACTTTTTCTAGGTTAAGTTGATAAGGAAGGCAATTCCCTGATCACCCATGTGCCTGTGTCAGCAGGAARGCATTGAATTGATGTGTTTGTATCAATAACATTTTCTTCTTATCACTGGTATTGATTMTTTCACTTGTGAGCTTGGTTTTACTGTTTCAGCCTCTCTGGTGTGGCTGTGCCCAAGCTCACAGTGCTTCACTGAGATGGGAGATGCTTTTGTCAGTCAAGTACAGGACACAAATACAGCAACAGCCTAATAAAACCATTCCAGTTCCACAACTGAAACCCCTCCAATTCCACAAATACAGCATAAGCCTAATAAAACCCCTCCAGTTCCACAAATACAGGGAGAGCCTAAGAAAACCCCTCCAGTTCCACAAATACAGGGAGAGCCTAAGAAAACCCCTCCAGTTCCACAAATACAGGGAGAGCCTAAGAAAACCCCTCCAGTTCCACAAATGAAACCCCTCCAGTTCCACAAATACAGCATAAGCCTAATAAAACCCCTCCAATTCCACAAATACAGTGAGTGCCTAAGCTCTCCTATGGATCAGGTTTAAAATACCAGCACAGCAGAGGAGGTGCAGTCCCTGCCTTTCATGGGTGACGGGGATTTTGGTTTTGGGATCTGCAGTCATCTCATGATGTGAGATGTGATCATCTCACGAGATCATCTCACTGATCTCACGATGTGCCCCTACAGATCCTCCTTTTGGCAGTAATTCTGATAACACTGGAGTGCAGTGCGTTGCAGCGGTGCTGCCACAGTGAGAGCTGTAACAAAACCTACAGGGTGAGTCTGTTTTGTATTTCTGTGCATCTCCTCAGCTTTTGTTTCCAAGCCCTTCCTGATTCTGCGTTTCCAGCACATCCTGCTGCCCTCTCCACTGCTCTGCTTTCGCTTCCTTTCACAGACAATGACTCTAAATTGGGYTCAAGGCCACAGAAAGTGCAGCTTCTTTCTTCTGAAGCATAAGCAGGATGAAAGAAAATTAGACACACACTTTCCCCAAATCCTTGTGAAATAAAATCAGCTAAATAGCTTCTTCCCTTTGCCTGTATTACTTTTTTTTTTTTAGAAATAACTCAATACACGCTCTCTAGGATGCAGACATATTTAATGTGTGGTTGTGTTCCTCCTGTATTTTGGGAAACAACTTTMCAAAAATGCAAGTTTAAAAACCCCACCCGAATAATACATCACCTACAGTTGTAGATGTGTCTTAAGCTCTGTCTTAATCTTTATTTCGTATGTGTATTTTTACTATTCTTTACCTGCTCTTTTTCKTTCTGAATTTTGAGGACTGGGAGGATCAAATGTGAAATCCAGCCCTGATGAAGTTGGTGGGCACACAGAATGACAATGTTTGCTGTTGACACCATCTCCACACAGCGATATTTCTCTCCTCTTTGTTTCAGAGTTTTATTGCAGTTGTGCTAGCCCTGCTGGGAGTTGCTTTCTCGGGATACAGCTGCATCATTTTCACCCTGCATTTGATTCAAGGCCCTTTCTGCAATTCATCCAGTGGATGGGATTACATTTTCAAAGACACTGCTGGGGGGTAAGAAACATCCGCGGAACTGATGGAAGAAYTGGTGGAACAACTCTTGTGGAAGAAATTGTTCATCAAACCAGAACCATTCTCCTGATTCCAGTCTGGTGTTTCTCTGACAGGTACCTGACAGATTTCCCTGCCTGGTCTAAGTGCACAGAACCTGCTCACGGGGTGGAGTGGAACATCATTTTACTCTCCATTTTGATCGTTCTCAGTGCACTGCAGTTCATCATCTGCATTCTCAAAGTGGCTGCTGAGCTGAAACGAACTCTCTGTGGCACCTATTCTGTGTTTGTGCAGGTAACAAAATATTTGAGCTTTATTCCTTCAGCATCTCCCTGGCACTGTCGCTGCAGCAATTTCCCTCAGCTGGGGATCTGCCCTTTTGTTTTGGTTTTTTTCTTTTTCCAGAAAATATGTACTGAAAATACATTTGTTGGTTTGATTAATCCACTTAATTTCTTGTGGTAGACAGTGTTAGGTGACTGCTCACTGCCACCTTTTAAGAATAGGATTGAGAAGAATAAAAAGTAGTTAAGAAATGAACCCTGATGCCAAGTCCATTGCTCCCATTTCAGCAGAGCTGCTGAGCATTCAACATCCAATTTACAGACAATCTTACCAGTGTGAGGCTTTCACAGCAAAGATGAGGGAGATTRGCACTTTGTTTTTTCTTTGCAGGCTGGGATTCTCTGAAAATGGCAAGAAAATCATCGCTGCTTCTCCCCCACCCCCAGAAAAAGAGAGAGATGGCTTCTCCAGAATACCTACTGGTACATTTGAGTGCTACMAAGAAAAATGAAATCCTTCTCTTAAATCTCTTCTCTGTTTTGGATGAAGTATATTTGAATTGTCTGACATCTACATTTTCCTTTACCTGTCCAGTTGCCCYGGCAGAGACACTTTATAATTTTTTTTCCCTCCTACTTATTACAACAATAGGAATGTTTGAATGCAATGAAACTGCTTTTGTGTTGAAATCAGCTTTTTTTATTTAAATAAACTGCTGTAGAACTGCTTTTGTCCTCCCTTGTCATTGCTTAGACCATACGATTATTTGTTGTTTTGAAATGGCCTGGCTCCAACCCCAGTACATCAGTGCACTGTCTGAAGCTGTGATTTCTAAATGAATGAATTTTAGTTACAGAGAGCCCGTGATGGCCACGAAGGGCAGAGCCGACCCTGCTCCTTCCATCTTGGAAGTCCCTAAAGGCAAAAAGCAATTACTGAAAAAAGTCTCTGAAGATTTCCTGTTTGCAGGTGGCTTTGAATGCCTAAAGTTTCAGACACAACAATGGATACATACTCAAAAAAAGTGTCATTGCAAACTTTAGACAGGCAATTTTTAAACGTTTAGGTCCAGTTTTGTTCTATTTTTCRGTGACACACCAACAGGTGCACAATGTTTACAGAACCTGAATAAAGCAAAAGAAGCKTTTGGCACTGGGTAGTGCATTTAGAGAATGGTAACAGTTAAGATTATTTGGATTTTACCTTTTCAATCATTGAAGAATGTGGTTTATCCTGGCTGGCAGTAGATTAGGAGGAAGATAACATTTTGTGGAATTTCTGAGCCTCATTGCAGTAATCCTAAAACTGCTTGGAGAGGGGATGCAACCATTCCCCACCTCCATCCGTGAGCAGCTGCTCCTTTTAATCTCTAGCAAAATRTGCCACACTTTGTGCAAAAATTACATTTCCAACAGAACTGTGGTGGTGGCAGAGCTAACCCAGCACACACTGATTGTCACCCCGGTCCCRGTGATCTCAGKGCCCCTTTTCTGCTGGTCCCACACCCGTTTGGTGGTGGGCACAGAAGGGAAAAGGCAGATCTGTGCAGACAGAGGGAACAGGCAGTGCAGGCACAAATTCAGAGCAGATACACGGGGAYAAACTGTCACTTGTGCCTGACAAGTTGTGTTCTTGTGCCACATGTCATARGAATTATTTTCTCAGTAATCTACAAGCTATAGAGCGATGAAGATAGTGCAGACTGTAAWTAAACTTAAGTCTGTAAATGCGTTTAAATCTGCTTTCAATTCAGTGACAAGATTTACAGTCTACAACAGTCTGAATGGCGACTTGTGCGATTGTAGCTTGGCAGAAATAGAAAGAAATTCTTTGAAGATTATCTGAACTGACCAGSTTACGAGAATCATTTGTTTGCTCCTGACACACAGAGACGTTTTGCAATCGGTTTCATTGTGTTGGCAAAAGCGAACGGGACCGGGCAGGGGGAGGTGAGGATTTGGGGAGAGACAGGAACGTATAAAGGGAAATTGCACCTGCCTGTCCTCTGTGTTTTTGTCTCGTTTTCTACAAGGTGCAGGAATAAAAAATGAAGCTGTTTCACCTGAGCTGTTTGCTGCTCTCCTGCTGCTGCCTGGTTGGGGCGGTGACCCGGGAATATTTCATCGGAATTACAGAGTCTGTCTGGAATTACGCACCCGGCAGTGCCAACGCCATCTCCGGGCAGCTTCTGGAGGAGGATGAGTGAGTAAAGCAGTGCCACTGCTTGAGTTTTGSTTTACAGCTCCGTCTGCTTTACACACCGGAGTCAGCCTGAAAACCTGCTGAAGACACTGAAATGGGTTGTTGGTGTCAGTGGATTTTCTGTCAGACGTATAAGGGAATTTTGATTTTTTTCCTGCCTTGCCTGAGAGTTGCATTTCAATGCTCTGCTAATTCAAAGCATTGGAATATGCGGTGGGGTGTGAATTTGTGCAATGAAATATTGACTAAGTAGAGAATAGAACCAGACCCTGGATTTGTAATGATGCTTCATTTCCAATGTCTCAGGTGCTAGTGCTGACCAGATGACTTTTGCTGTGTTTTTAAATGCAGAGCTTGACCAATTTGCTATTGAGCGTAGCTTTCCTTTTGTTCTTCACTGCTGGCAGGAGCACAGCTGGGCTCTTCCACCCGCATGGAGGAGTTTTGATGTTTCTCTCAAAGCCAGGAGGCTCCTGCTCAGTGAGAGCAGTGAGGCTGAGGATGCAGGGTGACAGGGGGGAGCATCCTGCGGGTCTGAATAAAAAGGAAAATTCAGATCTAAAAGGCATCAGAAAAAAAATATTTGAGGAAGTGTTCCTTTCTTCTATTTTTTTCCAATGCCTTTAAAATTATGTAAAAGCAAAAACAACGACGAGAGAAATCAGAAAAATCTCAAAAATGCAGTTCTCATTTAGTCTGTGGATGAGGGATTAGAAGATTTCCTGTGGTTTGTTTTTCTCCAGTGAGAGCCAACTCTTCAACCATAACCTGCCTCTCCAGGAGGCTGAGATGAAGCAATCAGCTCTGTATTTTTTCCACTCACAAACTCCGTGAGGTGTGAGGAACTGCCAGTGAATCAGCAGTAATAATTTGCATTTTTGGGCAGTACTAATTTCTCTCACAGCATGGCTCGCAGGTAGCTGTGCACGGCACTGCAGAGGCCTGGTCTTTATCTGAGACTCTTAATTAAAACCATTAACATATAAAATRAGTATCTGACACTGCATTTGTTTATTTTCTTTACAGGCAGGCTGAAATCTTTCTCAAAAGAGGACCCCACAGAATAGGAAGCACTTACAAGAAGGCCATCTACACTCAGTACACCGATCATTTATTTAATGTGGTAGTGGAGAAACCTTCCTGGCTGGGTTTTTTAGGTCCCATAATTAAGGGAGAAGTTGGAGATTCCATTACTATTCACTTGAAAAACTTTGCTTCCAGAAACTACACGATGCATCCGCACGGTGTGACATACACAAAAGAAAATGAAGGTAAGCCTGATTCCGTTCTGTGCAGAATTTATCAAAAGTTAATTGTCCCTCTCAGTGTCAGTGGTGTTCTCTTATCWCAGAGAAGATGGTTCAAGTTAAGAGAGATTTAAACTAAAACGCAATCAGTTTAAAATAGGAGCTAAGTTGGATAATTTTTCAAGAGCGAAAYACAAAGCCAAAAGTGGAATTTTAAAGAAGGCAATTTTAGATCAACCTTTTATCTGTGTTTCAACCAAAATAAGGGCATAAAGGTATGTAAAAGATTCACTYGTGGAGGATATGTTAAAATACGTGGATGCTGTGAGGAAGATATTGTTAACAGTGATAATGCACTGTTCCGAATTTGTAACACTAAATTTGTGCATATCACTCTTCAAATATCTTTCATTAGAAGAATTTATCAGAGGTATCAGCCTAGTTTCTAAAGGACTATTTGGATTTTYTCATTACAACTAGTGAGTGTCTTGATGGAGACACTCTGTGGGATCAGAACAATGGTAAGTTATGTAAGTTATGTAAGTTATTATGTAGTGGTAAGTGGATTTTCTGGAATTTTTTTTTTTCTGTTGCTATCATTCCAGCAACACCTGTATTCCTTCAGGGCATATGCAGTTTTTAGGACAAGATTAATAGTTAACMAATGTTTTGCAAATATTCAAATTGTCATTGTTTTACAGTAAGTTTTACATAGTCCCCTCATCATAAATTAAGCACTATCTTTAATGAGCCATTAATTGAAGTGCTCCTACAGACTCCAAAGGCAAATGAAAAGATTCCTAAAGAGAAAGAACGTGCCTACTCGCCTGATTTTAAAGCTGTGGGGTTTAAAGCTATTTTCAGCTGTCCGGTCCATTTTATTGCAGTCAATTTTCAGTGTGCAATTCTGGCACTGCTGTGAGTGTGTGGTGCTAATGGTGGCTCCATGGAATTCCTCAGGTGCTCTTTATCCCGACTCCACCAAGGATTTGCAGAARCAGGACGATGCTGTGGAGCCTGGAGGGCAGTACACGTACACGTGGGATGTGACCGAGGATCAGGGTCCAGCTGAAGGAGATGCAGACTGCATCACCAGAGCCTAYCACTCCCACGTGGACGCTCCCAAAGACGTTTCCTCAGGCCTTGTTGGGCCTTTGATCATTTGCAGGAAAGGTAAAACGTAAATTACCAAGTGAGTAAATAAATACATATGAAAAGTGACTGGTAATGATCGTTGATAAATACCCGGGAAATCATTTCCCTGAAGAGGAGAAGATTGYAATTSATTTTGAAATAACTGCTTTTGATCCTCTCAGTGAGTGTAGGAACTAATTTGATTTTGTGTGTTATAGTGAATATAATTTGCAGAATAATTCAACACAAATCCATACGAGTGAGACGTGCTACGCTACCAATGTGCAAGGAAGTGTCAAAACTGATGCAAGAAAGAGATTAATATGCAATATTTATTCTCAGTAATTTTATAGAATCTGTCAAAAGGGATTTTGGTTTCCTTAGTGTGTCTGTAACTTTATGTGCACAGTCACAYTTAAGAAAAGTGTCAAAACATGGAGTAAATGGTTGCCAGTCCTACTGAGACTAGAGTTAAAACTGACAAAAATAAAAGTAACGTTAGGTACCAAAAGTTTTGAATATACTGCTTTCTTTTTCAGATACAATCRATAGGGACAGTGATCAACACTTTGATGCTGAATTTATCCTCATGTTTTCTGTGGTGGAYGAAAATCTCAGTTGGTATCTAGAGGACAATATCAACACGTACTGTTTAGAGCCTTCCAAAGTGGACAAAGATGATGAGGACTTCCAGGAAAGCAATAAAATGCACTGTGAGAGAACATTTTATTAATGTTGCTTGTCACTGATATAATGAAGTAATATTTTTACRTCTTTCTCTTTTAAAGATGAATTGTAGATTTTTTTTTTWTTWWTTGAGGCTTTTTCTTTGAGGAATAAAAAAGATTCTTTTAAATAAAAATAAATTCAAGAAGTGAYGGCAAGTATAGTATCATCAAACCTTTGGAGTTGTGCCATAAAATTTTTAGGGGCCAAGAAGCTCCTTGCTGGTGTAATTTTCCCAGGCACTCTAAACAGAGCTGTGTAACTTTGTTCTGTTTCTTAATCTTGAGCTCTATACTCTATATATTATTATATATAATACCAGAGTTTAGAAAAGCAGTTTTTGCTGTTAGTGTAAACAAATAAGACACCTCTGGCTGTGACAGGGGTGTTCCAGAATCGTAGCTGTGTAGAGGAAGGATGGGTGTGATACTGGCTTATTTCCAAAGGTATGGAGCTTTCTTTTGAGCCTCTTTCTGTTTCAAAGAGTAAGAGCAATGGGTGCACGATTCCTTCCTGCGTGTGAAGAAAAAATCCGAAAGTGGGTGACATTGACTGTAACAAACACCATTTATTTTAGCCATCAATGGGTACATGTATGGATACCTCCCAAACCTCACAATGTGTGCGGAAGATCAGATCAAATGGCATCTTTTTGGCATGGGCAATGAAGCCGATATCCACTCAGCCTATTTTCATGGACAGACCTTAATAGAAAGGCATCATCGAGTTGACACCATCAGCCTCTTCCCAGCCACATTCGTGGATGCTGTGATGGTACCCCAGAGCCCTGGGGAGTGGCTGCTCAGCTGCCAAGTCAATGATCACATTCAAGGTGAGTGGATGATCATATTGAGGGTGAGTGAATTATCATATGGAGGGTGAGTGAATGGTCATATTGAAGGTGAGTGGATGATCATATTGAGGGTGAGTGAATTATCACATGGAGGGTGAGTGAATGGTCATATTGAGGGTAAGTCAATGATCACATTGAAGGTGAGTGGATGATCATATTGAGGGGGATTGAATTATCATATTGAAGGTGAGTGGATGATCATATTGAGGGTAAATCAATGATCATATTGAAGGTAAGTGAATGACCACATTGAAGGTGAGTCAGTGACCACATTGAAGGTAATTGAATTATCATATTGAAGGTGAGTGAATTATCATATTGAAGGTAAATCAATGATCACATTGAAGGTAAGTCAGTGACCACATTGAAGGTACAGTTCAAGTTTCGGTGATCAGAATGTTTTTTTTTAGCTTGAGTTAAGAGTTTACTGAGTCACTTTTGCAGGGCTCTCCAGCCGGTGATATGCCAGGCAATATTCTCCACTAGGTAACAAAACTCTCACGGTAATTGAAATGCCTACAAGTGCATTCGGTGTGTTTGAGCCATATGTAGCACTGGTGAATAAACAGATGTTCTTTTCTCTTTCTGGTATTATCCTGTATTTTCTTGTATAGTGTTCACCTTATACTTTGTGATTTGCATATCCATCACTGGTGTGAGAATTGTCCAGGGAGCAGAAGGGCTGTTGCATGCAGAGAAAGAGAAGACAAGTGCAGTCTCCCTATGTTTCTCTACCTCTTTTTTTTTTTTCCCCAGGTGGTATGCAGGCTCTTTTTAAAGTAGAAGATTGTAAGAAATCCACACCAGATAACAATGAGACTACAAAGATAAGACAGTACTTCATTGCTGCTGAAGAGATAATCTGGAATTATGGCCCATCTGCAGTCAACCACTTTACAGGACAACAATTAATCGTTGACAGGTRAATGCTTCTAATTAAATAATTTTTATTTTGCAAGCAGAATTGATTTAAGCATGCTAAACAAGGTCAGCCATATGGTAGAAATGACTTTTTAAGCATAATTGCYCATTTGTCCTCATCTGTGCTTAAATATTAATGCAAGAATAAGTATCAGACCAAATTGGGTCAATTGTTTTCCTTGTAATCTTACTATAAATTCTGATGCTACATTAGTAATTGCACTGGGATTAATTATTATGTCCTGTGTAGGCCACAGTGATTCAGGCCTGGTGATTCAAGATGTTGATTATTCTGAGTYAGGGAACTGTTTGCATCTGTTGCAATTTCTTTTACACAGTGAATCTCACATCTTCTTTGAACAAAGTGAGACAAGAATCGGTGGCTCCTATAAAAAAGCCGTTTACAAAGAATACACAGATGCTTCTTTCACTGAACAAAAAGAAAGACTTGCAGAGGAAGAGCATCTTGGACTCCTAGGTAAGAGAGCGTGAAGTTTTTTCATGTCAAAGATTCATGAGAGTAAACTTCCACCGGTAGTGAGCAGTGGATTTCTCCAAGCAGAAATCCTCAGCAGTCGCTGGTGCCTGTGGTTTCCCCAAGAAATAAAGAAACTTTGGAAGGTGACAGTGCCACRGTGCCCAGCTTTGCTGTGGGAGCATGCCATGGTCTCCAAAGGGCAGCTCTGAATTACAGGGCCAGGCTGTGAATTAAATGGCCAGGCTGTGAATTATACTGGCCAGGCTGTGAATTGTATGGCCAGGCTGTGAATTACAATGGCCAGGCTGTGAATTAAATGGCCAGACTGGGCAGGTCTGCTCCTACTGACAGCCTTGCTGCYTCTGGGATGGGCTGGGGCTGTGTCTGTAAATCCCTTTCCAAAGGAGCATTGTCCTAACAGTCACTCCATGTGAGTTGGGAATGGTTGCTGCAGGGCTGTGTGTGATTCAGACCCTGTGATTTAGG